AACCATAAGTTAATAGTTCTATAAGAGGTCAACTCGTAAGATTGTTGAGGCCAACCTATTAGTTAAGAGGAACATCAATGATTGTCGAACCTTTCAACCCTGTCAAGCCAAAGACAAGGTGTTTAAAGGGTTTATTTAGCTCTTTATGCACTGAAAAAACTTCTTGACTCCGTAGGATGTAGTACGTTGAGCTAAGCGAGATGTAGTACTATACAACTATTAACAAATGGAAGACATTACAAAACTCCCTAGAGATAGCATATCTAAAAATAGAGCACATGGATGCATACAGTTTTATCTCTGAGATTCTAAAGACCGAAAGATTCGATGAGACAAACTGCTCCTCATGGAAGCGCAAACTTTGTTATGTGCTTTTTGAGGATGGTTTGCATGAGATACTTACTGAGCATCATCCTTCCCATCCTATAAGCAATTCATCTTGGCCTATAAGAGATGCAGATACCTAGTGGAAGCATACGAATATGTGTGCAAGGCATATCTTGCTTTTTTCCATGTGTTTATACTAAAAAATACGGGCAGAGAACTTAATCTCCACCTTGATTTCGGGTTCAACAAAATCAAATGAAGCAGATAGAGAAAAGGTCCCTACAAATTATGCTCCTGGAAAAGTCGGGCCACAGGGCCTTCTCCCACTCGGACCGCCGACCAAGCTGGCTTCCTGTATACTTTAACCTTGGAGTTCAAAGAATATTTTGAAATATTTAATAAAAAAGGGGGCATTTAATAAAAAGGGTTTAGAAATATAAGAAGAAAAAGAGCAAAGGTAATAAATGAACAAGAGAAATCAAGAACTAAGCAAATAAAAATAAGTGAGACTAAACAAAAACTAATAAATATGCAAAAACCCAACTAAAACTATTCATAAATGCTAACATAAGCATGAACAGTAGGAGTAAAAGGGAAATAAATGATAGTAAAGAGAAGAAAAAGAGGGATGAATGATACTTGAGGTCGGGCCCCTAGGCGCGGCGCTTGGAGTCGGTGCTGATTTAGAGTCAATTATTGCACGGTCAATCACAATCTTTCGGGTTTAGCCGGAGCATGTTGATATAGGTTTAAGGGTATCATGAAGGTCTAATTATATGGATTGCCTTCAAGATAAGAGTATAAAAGTTTAGGTTGACATATTAGTTTTGGGTCGAATAGGGTTCAAGTAAGGTTTGGTTCGTTCTAGTAGAGCTTATGCACTTGATATAAAAAATCACAGACCTGGAATCAATGTAAAGGCCCATATATATAGGCAAAACAAACCTGGGACCACCATTGGATTGTTTTTTGTGCAATCTGGGCGCTTCATTTTCTGTCACCTTTTGGACGTGTGCTGGGGCCACTGGCAATGGCGTCGGATCAGCATTAATGACCATTAATTGTCGTCAACCACATTAAATGTGCTTTTAATGCATTTTGACCACATGACTTGATACAGATACAGTTTTGTGGGCTGGCTGTTAGAAGCATGACACCACTAACAATGGCGTAGTTGAAGCCCCTTCACGACCAAATTTGTCATTATGATAATTATTTTGTATATTTTCTAGGCCAATCAGATTTTAGAGCATTTTCAACTGCCTTTGGTGCCCTTTCGAGCAGTGATGGTTTCAAACTGTCATTCCGGCTCCCTTGTACGACTGTCAGTTCACGTAACATTTCTTCGATGAATCCAAGGGCGACAACCAACCTTTGTACTGACATCTAACATGTTAGTACGACGTGGCACACGTTAGTACGGGCTGACACACAACGTTTGGACTGCACACTGAGTTGTTTCCTAATTTTAACCACCTAGGGTTTGGCACAGGTGTGAGGGGAATCGACGTCATTGCCAATGGCGTCAAACCCTTCTCTCTCCATTCAGGTTGTTCTGGTGTCTAGTGTACTTTGTGTCGCTCTGCGTCACACTTGGGAACTGCATCGGCACCAAGGAGTGGTGCCAGGATTTCCTGTTTTCAGGTTGCTCTCATCTTGGTAGTCCTGAGTTCTGGTTTGCTTTGCTTTGCTTTTTTTCTTCAAGCGCTTTTAGCTCTGCCGAAGCGATATGGGGTTTATGGAGGCTAGTTTACGGATGGGTTAGGATTGTGTGAATGGTTCAAATTCGAGGTATCTTGCCGAGTACATTTTGATCATTCACAGCTTTCTCAATCAAGATTAGGGTTTCTACACCATGAATGACTCATACGAATCTAAGTATGAGCCAATTAGAACTATTAAAGGAATGCACAACTAGCTCGAGAAGGAGTATGTTGGTCCTTATGAGAAAATCATTGGCAATAAAGAAGTACAACAATCTGAAAATGGTCGAGGGTACAAAAACAGTAAAGCACGTGCGCACTTTTAAGGCGTTTGAGAGATGGAGGTGATCGAGATCCAGCCTCTGGAAACCATTCAAGTGGTGCACTTGATGAATACGCTCCCCATTTCTTGAGAGGTATTCATATCATCCCTTGTTGCCTGAGAAATTGCTCCTAAGCTAGAGGAGCTTATCACATTGCTCAAAGCCGAGAAGGAAAAGTGGAATGCATACAGTGCACCGGCACCCAAAGATGTGGTACACATGGTAAACTCTCAACCCTACTTTAAGCCTAACAAAGATGGGTAAAATGAAAAATAAACAGTGGGGGGAGGAAAAGAAAAGAGGGAGAGAGAGAGAGAGAGGAGGGGAGGGAGAAGTAAAAAGTTTAAGGGAAAGAGAAAGAGTACGGCTTGCTACATATGTCAGAAAATAGGTCATATAGCCAAGGATGTCAGTTCAATAAGAACCCTGGTGGTAACAAGGAACTTGCGTGTGTGGAATTTGAGACATTGTTAATTGACCCCAATGGCACATCTTGGTGTCTTGACTCGAAAGCTACAACCCACGTGTCAAATACCAAGGATGCTTTCCACACCTTCAAACACGTGGGGCCGAGTGAGCAACACATTTACATGGGAGGGAACCGAAGGACCGATATTCTGAGTGTTGGTGACTTTGTACTAGAAATGAAGAATGGGATATTCATGGTCCTAAAACAAGCACTCCATGCTCCTGACATGAGGAAGTACTTGGTTTTGGCTTCAATGATAGTTAAGGCCAGGTTAATCATCACCTTCTCTGAAAATAAGGTAATAGTGAAAAACCATGATGAGATTGTCATGACCGGTCTGCTTGTAGACGGTCTTTACTCGATTGAAATAAAATAAGTAGTTGCCTATGTCTCGTCTTCGAATGATGTTGATGATTTTCTATGACATATGCGACTAGGGCACATAGGATTTAAAAGAATGGAAAGGTTAAGAAAAGATGGAAGTCTGGAAACTTATAAAGACGACCTATCAAAGGTGTGTGAATCTTGTATATGCAAAGAAAGTTAACAAGAAAAAATGTCATCGGGGCACAAAGGGCTTCTAACATAATAGAAATCATACATAGAGACATTTACAATCCTATGAATGTGATTACCAAAAGCCGCAAGAGATACTTCATCATGTTCACTGATGACCACTCACGATAGGCCATGTATACTAGAGAAATTCAAAGAATACAAAGCTGAGGTATAGAATCAAGCAAACATGATAATCAAAGTCCTAAGAACTGATAGAGGTAGTAAGTACTCATCACAACTTTAGGGACTTGTGCGTGGAGCATGATATTATTCACCATTACACCATGCCCTACTCAATAAAGCAAAATAGAGTTGCCAAGAGGCGGAATATGACTTTAGTAGAAATGGTGAGATACATGATGGGACATGCAAAGCTCTCCCTAGATTTCTGAAGAGAAGCAGTATTGACAGTGGGATATATCCTGAACCATGCACTCACCAAAGCAGCTTCTCTTACTCCTCATGAGATTTTCTACTTCCCTTAATCACATAAGAGTGTGCAGTTGTTCTACCCATGTCTTAATCCCATACCAAAATAGGACAAAACTATTTAAAAAAAAATTTATTCAAAATAGATCCCAACACAGGGTTTCTCCTCATATCCGAGACATAGTATGCATTTTCCAAGGTAAGAACCTTGCCCGAGCCAAACTATGATTCCACTGTACCTTTTCCAAGCATTTCGGCCATAGCCTAAGTTCCTATTGAGCTAAATTCCATTAGCCATTGAATCACAAGTCTTAAACAGATCTCAATTATTAGATCCATGAATAGTAGCATCGGTATCAACACACCATTCAATAATGTAGATGGTATACATAAGAAGGGAAATTCATCCTCGGATACAAGAAAACATAAAGTCTTTTGTTGCGATTGTAGGTTCTATGCACCTGAACCAAAAACTTACTAGGGAGCATTAAAGTATGGTATTCGTAAAGAGAGAGTGAGAAAATTTAGTAGATAAAGAAGGATGAGAGCCAAGGTTCTATTGAAAATGGCGTTCGCAGATTGGGAGAAAAGACTCATTATATAGAGCTATGCGTAGCTGCGAATAATGTTCAAGTGAATAGTTTCGTACCGTTACACTATATGCAAGTAGTTACATTCACGACCGTTGATCTCGACGGATGTGAACAGTCACATATGCTCATGTCTTCAATAGCTAATGACTGGTAGATATTCCTCACATGCCACAGCCGGTCCTCTCCATGCACATGTACAAGCATAAGTCGAGTACAAAGTACGCTAACAAGTACCTTTCCACCCTCGTACATGCACACGCACACATGCACATCACAAACTTCACATGCTCCGCACATACATCATCACTCTCACGTTTGTTCTAAAATATGAAAATGCCCACACGTATATATCATTCAATCCACACTCTTCTTCGATTTAAAACAAAACCAAGTAAAAAAACACTTCCTTCTCACTCAACATAATTTAAAACTTAAGAAAATGACAAAACATTATGCTATTCTAAAATGCACCAAAGTATTTTTCAAAACCAAAATACTAACAATTTTGAATAATTGAGACAATAAGAGGATTATGGCCATAAACACACTAGAATGGAAAAAAAAATCTGATACAAGTAAAAAAAAGTTGAGAATGAAACAATTTTGCCAAATAATTATATTACCAAGAGTTGTCTAATAAATTCTAATTGATAATAATAGAGGCAATCAGCCGGGCCAACCTTGACCCAGCACTTTGGAAAGGCAGGGCTAGGTCCAAGCTCTTCCTTTCGATTTGGCCAGGCCAGTGCCAGGCGGTGCAATGATGTGACTGGCATAAACACGCACAAATATTGATAAGTTTATGAACACAACACATCAAGCTTACTTTCAAGCTCCAATCAAGTTCAATAGTTTGCACAAGTAGTTTGCACCTTGTGCTTCTTGTTTTTCCCATAAAGCTCAACAGTGTACATGGAATTCTTTGTCACAATGATAATTGAGAAATTCATACTAATCATTATTTTTAGCCTCATCGTGCATATTTAACCAGCTGAGGCACCATTCTCTGAGCCCACACATGGCACATAAATTGAGTCTGGCGACATTGAAACCATTTGCAAAAGGCTGGAGTTTGAAAATGTCTCCTCCAATCTACTCTCCCTCCTTGCCTTCATACTCTCAGTCCTAGCCTTTTGAAGCTCTTCTGCAACTTCCATCATGCTAGGCCTATCAACCTCCTGAACTGACAAGCACCTAACAGCAAGCCCAGCAACCCTCTCCATCGCCTCCCTCTGGAAAGAGGGATCTTGGAAAAGAAGAAATGGGTCCACCATCTCATATAGCCTTCCATCCCTTATCTTAACCAGCGCCATTGCAGCAAGCCCCGTTGGACCCAAGCCTGTGATTATCTCGAGCATTACCCCACCAATGCTAAACTCATCAGTTTTGTCCAAAGATAGGTGTGACCCACTTGCTAGCCCAAGCAATTCAAGCCCAAAGCCTGCAATCTTTGCGGTATAATCATAGTCAAGGAGTATGTTTCCAGATTGAAGATTTTGGTGATAAATCGGTGGGGAGATTTCAAACTTTAGGTATGCAAGGGCACTGGCTACCTTAGTTAGTATATTTATACGGGTCAGCCAATCTAAGCCTCGGCCTTTCTCTTGTTGGAGATGCTCTTTGAGGGTTCCATTTCGGGGGAGCTCAAAGACAACCAAAGGTGAACCCAAATCGGTGCAGCACCCGAGAAGACGAGCAATATTCTTATGTGAAATACGAGAGAGGGCATCAATCTTTTCCAAAACTCGTCCAAGTCCTTGGTCACTTCCATGTAGTATCTTATGGATGGATACATATGATCCATCATCAAGCTCCCCAGCATAGACAGCTCCATGATCATCAAGCAATATCCTTTGGCTTTCTTCGAATCCTTTTGTGGCTACTTCTAATTCTTTGTATGTGAATAGTTGAGCCCTATATAACTTTCGAAAAGCAATGATTTTTGAAGAGTCAGTAGGGTTAGGATTTTGCTTGTCATCTTTGTTGGATTGTCTGAATTGACAATATAAAGTCAATACGGCTGCAAGAATGGCAGTGAATGCCAATATCCCTGTTTATCACATAAAGCACAGGATTATCCACAACTCAAGATCACACAATCGCAAGAAAAATAATATTTAGTTGTATCCAACTACGCACCAGCAAGGATCACTGCTCTCTGTTTTATGTTTCTCCTATTGTGGCAGGCTTCTCCATATGTTTCTCTTCCATTCTTCCTACATGCTGTAAGAAAGATTGATGTTAAACTACCAGGCTCTTGTCCACATTCTAAGGTGATACTCCACTGCCATGAGAGAAGATGAGGAACACCATGTGTAAGTATGTGAACACGTGCATTTGACCATAGTTGCTTAAGAATGCATATTCAAGTGCATGTATAATCGTGTCCCTAGAAAGATGTAAACTTGGAACATGATAATCAAGTGCTCAACAGTCAAACATATATGGAGGATCCTCTGGATACCAGGTAAAGGAGATATATACAAGCAAACAGCACATTTTTTTTTGGGTGCGTAAGCCCGATTGAAATAGAAAGAACTGAAAAAAATACAAAAACAGAGGGTTCATGACTCCTAACAAGGAATCCTGGAGACAAAAAGTAAAGAGTAACATCCCTTTCATGGGATCTATTATAAACACACAGCCCAGATATCTCTGGCCTCATAAGTGCGCTTTTCCATCAAATGCTTTTACTTCTCCACTAGGAGATGTCACCCATGTGATGCGAATGGCCATTACAAAGAAGAACATTGCTACTCTCTGACGCACTTTGTTATGGCACAAACATCACACTGAAGGTTCCAGGTATTTCTGGGATGTCCAACTTCAGAGTTCTTCACATTTATAAACAGAGCCACAAATGCTACTTGACTTATAGGAACCTCATAATAAATAATACCCACGTCTTATCTAAGAGCAGAGCTCCTTTGCAGCTCCGGCCGTCATGATATCAGCAACTTGCACACTTCGCCTTGTTACAACCAGCACAGTTAAGGCTCGTCGTATTTCTGGATTGTCTTGTCTTCAAGGTTCTTCACATTTATAAACAGGTCTATGGATGTAACTTGACTTGTATGGAGGACCTCTAACATAATCTTCTATAACAAATAAATCTCACATCTTATCCAAGAGCACAGCTCCTCTGCAACTCCTTGACAGTCTAGAAACTTAGAGAACAAGGTCAAGAAACTTTCAGTATGTGGAACCTCAGGTTTTAGACACGCTCTTAAAGGATGTTTAGCCTTTGTCAGGAGAAACAGAGTCAAATGGGGTTACATGCTCCCACGATATCTAAGTGTACATTTGGTCCCTCGAGCAAAACACAAGCTGGGAGGATCTTTAGGAACCCAGATCTTGGGGATTGAAGTTGCTCAACCATGAGAACAACCTAAAGAAAAAAGGGCAAAAAGAAAAGGAAAAAGAAAAAGTGAATACACTCTCTAGAAGTGTCTGAAAGAAATTACATCATTGATTGAACACAGGCTATCCATTTTTTGGATGGTCTCAGATGTAGCTGTTCAAGAAATCCAAAATACATTTATACACATATCCTGGCTGCAAAAAACTTTTGATTAACCTAAACTGAGAAGGTTATAAGCTTCCATGGGGACAAAATGTACAATTGCCCCCTCAGGCAAAACCCTAGCTAGGAGCATTTTTAGGATGTCAATTGGGATCTGACCCACAACACAGCAGTCATCCTCTTAAAAAAACACGTTAGAAAAAAAAAAACTTATTACTCACCATGGTACCAACATGAAAAAATCATGCCCTATGAAAGCCCACAATTCTGTCCAATTTTGTACAGTCAGATCTAAGTGTTTAGGTATTCCAATGTCAAAAATATGGATTCAGCTGCCTAGGCGGGCACCTAGTTTACTAGGCGGCACGTCTAGGAAAATTTCGAGTCTATGCCCAATGGGAGCTGTTTAGAGGGTTTGGCTGCCTCAAAAGGATCTTAGAAACTGTAATTTTCAGAAATACTAGTAAAACACATTATCATAGTCCATACACCATATTTCATACATATATAATATAAGAACTGGTCATTGAATTACTTAAAGTCTAAAATCCAAATTAAAAATAAAATAAAAAAATGCCCAAACAAGAAAATTAAATAGAAATAAGTCATTTCGATTAAATTTCAGAGAGTTTACTAAATTACATTAATATGGTGCACAAATCCAAACATAAACTCAAAATAAAAACACAAGAAAAAATCCAAAAAAAAAAAAGACACATTATGCTTCCTTTTTCAGTCAAGAATATGGGCCACAAATACCATCCTACACTTGAAATAATTTACAAGAATAAAAAACCAAAGAAGAAGGGGAAAAAAAGTAGTAAACTAAACACTCATGAATATAATATAAACCATAAACAAAAAAATGAAAATATATGAACCTTTTAATGTGTACTAGATCTTGGCTCGATGACCAGTAAGAGCCAAAATTTTCTTTCACAGCCAAATCAACCCACAAAAAGTATCGGGTTTATTTCATAAGAAATCGAAACCTTCGAGAAAATTTTAATCTTCAAAAAATCTTGTTTTGGGGAAATTTTTCTCTCTCAAATGCTAGCAAAGTAGGTTTTGGGGGGTTAGAATGCCCCCCCCTAAACCCTTTTCTCCCTCTTTGAGGGAGGAAAATGACATTTGTTTTAGTGAAGGGCATATTTCCACCCTCTCGCCAAAGGGCACTGGGCGCCCGCCTAGAGGCAGATGCCTTGGCGGTGCCTAGGCACCCTGCCTAGGCCTTTATGTGGGCGGGGAAGGCCTTTGGCCACATAGGTGGCCACGTGGCCAAATTTTTTAACACTCAGGTACTCAAGAGAAAAACTGATGATTTATATTGACATTACACATCAGGTGATTCAAAAGCGCATTCCAAAATTTCAGTTCAAGAAGATCCTCCTATGTCATTCGGTCAATGGAGTAACTGCAGAATTTGAGGGAGTATCTGCAGATTTTCTCCAGCGGAAGCATGGTAACATGCTCTAACCTAAATCTGAACGATGCTAATGTAACTACTTAAGTATAGTTGTTGTTGTTATCATGTAAATAATAATAATCAGAATGTTATTTGATCTGGAAACACAAATCTGGTAAACCTTTCATGAGGGGACCATATTACATCTGACATGCAAGGGGATGCGAATGAAACTAATATGTAGCCAGAAGCTTTGCATCCACCCCTCCTGGCCATGTTACTAGGATAACTTCATCTAAACAATTATGGGACATTCAAGAGTCCTTCAAGGAAATGCTGGGTGTATTTGTCAAACGTATACCACTAGTGTTTAGTATGAGGTATACCTCATGGGACCGTCTGTTCCTGATTACAAATAGCATAGATCAACAGTGGTTCCTGATGATGGACATTCAACAGGGTAAGGCGCTCTCATGAATAGGAAACTCTGCAAGAACCTATGGCGTTGAAAGAAGGAGAACTTGGAGGCCTTTTAGTGGTTTGCCTCCAAATAAGCAGTATCATGAATGAAGAAAGCATCAAATGCCTATGGCCTTAAAAACCTCAATTACAAGAGGTGGGGATCTCTTAAAATAGATGTAGTTGACTAGTGGATCATGTGCTACTATAGCAGTGCAATGACATTGCCGCTGTTTCTTGTGTTCTATGTACGTGATAATCATAACCTTAATATGTTGTGATGTCAGATGTTCCTATAATTAAAAATCTATCAAATTTATATGTTTTCGTCCAATATTTTCTTTAATTTCATAAGAGTTTCAGTCTTCAGAGAGAATAGCATAATTCTTACTGTCTTCTTTTTTGAGCCAGGGAATCAACATATCATCATGGTTCCAAGTAACCAAATTTCCTTTCCCTCTTTCTCACTCCCAGGAATTAAATATATGATCTTCCTTTGTTTCACTGGTCAGAGAGAGGAATTGGTTTGAACGATGACATTAGCTGTAGCGAAAAATGTCTTAGCTGTAGCCAAAAATGTCTTCAATAACCAACAGTAATGGATTGTATGAGAAAAATGGTAAAAAAGAAAGAAATGAAATAGACACATGGTACCACATAGATCTTCATAAACACCATTGACAGAAACAAAAACAAGAAATCTGTATGGAGTGAGGCTAAAAGGAAGTGGGTTACCTTTTACGCATCCAATCCCCTCGGCAAAACCATCTCCAAGAAACCCATCTTCACAAACGCACCTTATTCCCTCTGCAACTGTCGTGGCATTCACTGATAAAGCGTTATTCGAGCATACACTACCTGGGGAGTATCCTGGAACGGCCCACTCAAGCTTAAGCTCAGGCTTTGAACCAGGAGAAACACTTGATATCGATAAGCCCTGACATCCAAATCCATCAAACACAGAAAACCCATCACCAGGTTGCCAGAAACTCGTATCACTCAGCGGATAACAACAACTGCTATTTCCTTCACAACCCACATTTTCATTTTCTTCATCAGGCCCCCTGCAGTCCAATTTACATAAAGAAGAGTTCTTCTCACAATCCCATAGTTGGATCACATTCTGAATAGAAATTCCATAGAATTGATTACCCTTAAATTCAAAATCTCTTGAATCAAATCGACATGAAGAACCAGGAAAATCGATTGAGATGCTATCTGATGAAATTTCGAGAACTGTAAAAGTTTCAGAATTTAACTCAAGGGTGGGTGTGGAGTTTGAGCAACCTAGTCTGAAGCCGTGAAAACCACATGATTCTTTGAGATAAAAAGGGTAGGTAATGGAAATGGGGCCACATTTTTCATTGCATTTGTTCACAATTCCAGGAAGTGAATTGCAGAGGTAAGATGACAAGAGTAAGACCCATGTGAGAGAAACCCAGAGAAGCAAATGGGTGGTGACAGAAGAGAGAGAGTGAGCCATGAAGGAGTGAGAAAGAGGATGAGGTCAGAGAGAAGAAGGAGAAGACCCGACATGGTATTGGCAAAGAAGAAATGGGCAAACCATGGAGGAGAGAGAAAGCAAGGCATTGAGGAGAGAGAAAGAAGGAAGGGGTTAGAGACAGAGAGGAAGTTCTCGAAGTTGACTGGTGTGACGTGTCGCACAGAGAAGGTGGGAATTTGCCTCTGGATTTGTAAAGGTGGGAAGTTGATGGGCGTGAGGTGTCGCACAGAGAAGGTGGGAATTTGCCTCTGGATTGTAAAGGTCGGGTGGGGCGTGGAGAAGCGAGCAGCAGTGCGAGAGAATTGAAGAGATGGGGTGTGAGCATCTCGTGATTTCCAAAGAACGAGGTGCGTGCAGAGATAGATAGCGAGAGTGTTTCAGGTTTCAACGGGAACAATTTTTTTTGAATCCTTGGATTCAAAGTAGCGTTGGGTGTCGCGTCCCATGAGGGAGGGCCGCCAATGGGCTACCCCAATGCCACGGAATGTTATGGAAGGGAATAATCCCTATCACCCTATCCTTGTAATATAATAAAATCACATTTTTTTAAAAATTCATGACGTTTATTTGTCCATAAATCTTTATTCTCATAATTAATTTTAAAAAATGATAAAATTTAATTTATATTTTAAATATGATCAAAATGAGTTCTTTCCGATAATGAATTGAGACTATCTATCTCATGAATTTCAAGACCATCTTACAAATTCAAAATCAATTTTTTTTTCTTTTAACATAGTTAATCTAATGATATGAAAACAAACAAAAAAACTTGGAACGAAAAACAATTATTCTAAGGCCTGGATCAAAGCATCTCATTAAAATGGATGGCCTATATTAATTGGGCTAAAAGTACACTTTATAGGTTATGTTTCTAATTTTTGTAAATTTTTTTATTGTTCAATGGAATTAAAAGAGTGTATATTTAAAATTTGAAGTCAAATAAATAGCTCTAACATGGTTTTTGAAGATTTTTTTATTATATTTCTATAGAACCTTTGCATGAAATCAGTGCCTATATACATGTATATATACATG